CTGTTGCTATTATTTCCTAGGGTCCTTCAGCTTCTCCAGTAGAAAGAAAAAGAATACCTCTGGAGTATTATTACAAATGATCTCCTCAAGGAAGGAAAGGTTAAACAAGGTTGGAGGGTTCTGTCACAGTCAACACAAAAGTCAAACACCCTGAGGAGGATCCAAGATTGAGTTGGAAGAAAAAGTTTCTTTCATGAACCTAATGAAGGAAAAGTCACATTCTATATGTTTGCTAACATCCTCAGGCAGAGGTGAAACTGTGTTAGAAAAAGCACTTGAGGCAGAGAGACTACATGGGTTTAAAAGTGGGAAAGGATTTTCCCCATACACACCCTACTATAAGAATTTCCATCAGAAAAGAAATGAGATGTGAGCGGCTATTGTGCGCCAATTTCAGGGGAACTAGAATTCAGAAATAGGAAATAAATGTCCCTGATCAAGTAAATAGAGGCTATCTTGTTTAATAACAGTAGGCAATCAAGGTAACATTTCTATGACCCATGAAGGATTGTACATCTTTCCAGGAAAGATGGAAAGTCAATCTTTCCAGTGACTTCTTATGGATTACTACCCAAAGGGCTGCTATAATTTGGAAAGAGATTCCATAAGTACTTTTATAACCTCAAAAAATTAAATATATAAAACAGAATTTCAAAATTAATTCATTCATGCTTTTATTTATTCATATTCAATAAATATTTGAGTGTCTGCTTTGTGCCAAGTATCATTCTACCTGCTTACAATCCTTCAGCTAAGTAAAAGAGACAAAGATCCTTGCCCTCACAGAGCTTGGATATTGTGAGAGTTAATTTTATGTGTCTACTTAACTGGGTTAAAGGATGAACAGATGGATGGCAGAACAGTATTTCTAGACATGTCTGTGAGAGTGTTTCTGGAATTGATGAGCATTTGTATCAGTAGACTGAGTAAACATCTGCCCTCACCAATACGGGTGGGCAATAACCCATGCACTGCCCTCCCTTACCCACCCACCCCCAACTCCAAGGCCTCTCCTCCTCCCACCCCAATAGAACAAAAAGGCACAAGAGAAAATTCTCTTTTTCCTTAAGCTAGGACTTCCACCTTCTCCTGTCCTTAGACTTGGGCCTTTGGACTACAGAACTTTTACCATGGACCCCAGGTTCTCAGCCCTTTGGACTCAGACTAAATTATACCGCCAGCTTTCCTGGTTCTTCAGCTTACAGATGATGGATTATGAGATTTCTTATCCTCCATAATCACATGAGCCAATTCCTATAACAGATCGTGTGTGTGTGTGTGTGTGTGTGTGTGTGTGTGTGTGTGTGTGTATTTCTCTTATTGATTCTGTTTCTCTGGAGAATCTTGACAACACAGAGATAAAAATAAACACACTACACGGTCTGTTAAAATGCTGGACAGCAATAAGTGCCATGGGAGAAAAATGTAGAGTGGAAAAGGGAGAGCAGTAGTTGGGCAAGAGGTATGAGGATGGGTAGTGAGCAGATAAGCTTCACAGAGAAGGTGAGATTTGAGCATGGATTCAAGGAAGATAAGAAAGAGATCTATGTCGATATATCTAGGTAAGGAACTCTCCAGGTAGAAGTGATGGCCAATAAGATCATGTTTGGTATGTTCAAGAAATAGCAGGAAGCAAGAGAGGCCCAAACACTGGAGGGACAGGGATAGCAGTAGGACAAACGGGTCATAAAAAATAGGGGCAGACGATGCAGGGTCTTGCAAGCCATTGCTAGCACTTCAGTTTCTACCCTTATGGAATATAGAGCCCAGTAAGGTTTGGAGCAAAGGAATGACATGCTCTAATTTAGGATTTCAGATGATCATGCTGGTAGTTACAGAGAAAGAGACTGAAGAGGAGCAAGGTAGAAGCAGAAGACGGGGAGGAGGCATGGAAGACATTAGGAAACAAAGTGCAAACTGTCACAGACTGATTTCTGGTGAAAGATCAAGTTAAATCCTCTAAGTAAATTAATTCCTGAATGTCTTAGATGGACTGAAACTTCTCCCTATCTGCTACATGAAGATAAACTGATGAGTTAGTCTTGCTTCAAAAGATTTCTTCATGAAGAAGACCACAAAATCTGAAGACAGGAAACAGAACACCTTACAACTATTGTCAACTCTGGACTAAAATTTGTTCAAAAAAACAGTTTTCCATTCATACCATTTTAAAAAACAAGTAAAAAAAAACAATTTTGTAATCATCCCTCTAAATTTCTACCATGGTTTGCTTTTCTTGAAATGGGAATTAGGCCCAGAGTATACACTGAACTGAAAGGCATGAAGAGGTAATAAAAGGCAGTAAAGCACCATGACTACCTGCCATAACTGCAAAACAGAGGAGTTCTTTGGAAAGCCCTTTCCAAGGGCTTAAATAACTAAAGTAATTTTGTAGCAAATTCTAAGGCTGCACTATCCTCACATAGTAAGAATTGGTCTCTATTTGAAATAGACATTTTCTGGAAGATAGATAAATATATACATTATAGATATAGATATATAGATATTCACTATGGATATATATATATGTTTATAAAAATACATCATACACATGCACATAGGCACACACACACAAATACATCCTTGAATTACCCTGGGATAAATTTTTTAATTACCTCATTTGAGAGGAATAAATTGGTCACTATTGTGTAGCTGAAGCCAGGTATAATGCAATAGGCAATCTTAATTGTTCAGGATCTTCCATAAATTGTTCAGCAATAAATTTTATTATTTATATCCCTCTTGGTTAAGTTACAAAAACCCAACCTGAGCTAGTATGAGCAGAAAGGGAGTCCATTATAGTTATATGGGCAATTTCATGGAAGCCAAGAGCAAGAACAAAATTAAGTTTGAAGTAGGTATGTAAATCAGTCAGGGTATTAGCAGGAAAAGAGATGGCACACTTAGAAGAGTTCACTGGAAGAGAATTTAATGAGGAAATTTACAGAAATGTGAACAGATTAAGAGAACCAAGAAGATATGATGAGGCACCAAGAATCAGCAAGACTGGAAAATCAATACCATGGCTAAGCCTACAGAGTCAAGAGCTAACGCTGTCACCATAGTCCAATATAAGCCACGGCTGTGGAAGTGGACCTGCTTGAGAGATGAAACTACTGCCAGGCATGCACAGGAGCAGAAGGAGCAGGGGAAATAAGCACCCTGACTTTCTCTTCTTTCCTTTCTTCCTGCACCCTCTTAACCTCCTGCTAGTGCACTGACTTTCCAAAACCAACTAGAAGCCAGAGGGCACAGGAGTCCAGATAATACAGTCCATAGACATCAGCTCCTACAAGGCAAAACAGAGACCAGAGGAAAACGGTGCTAGAGCAGGTAAAAGAGTGAATAACCAGCACAATATGGAAAAAAGACCACTATAACAGTACAAAAATCCCTAATTCTGTACGCAATCCCTTTCCCAGGAATGCTTTCTCTGTAACGTATATGATGGGCATAAATGTGGAAAATCAGAAAGTGAAAAAAGAATTGTTCATGAAAGATAAGAATAATAAGAAAAACTTTATTGGAAGACAATTCTTTTTCTACAGCTTTAATTAATAATAGCTTTTGAGTTGCTTTGTTATCAATTTTAAATCTCAAAGGAGACATGACCTCATTATTCTTAGCTTTTCTAATTCAACTCTGAAGAAATATGTAAAATAATATTGAAGCATTAAGATATGCTATGATAACAACTTAACAATTTTTAAAATCCTAAAACCATTAAACAATGATACATCTCAATAATAAAACAGTACCACTGCAAAAGAAAAATTTATTCTCCAAAGCTTTAGCAAATACAATCGAAGAGCAGGTATCTCTATTTTTATATCACTTTTATACACCTCGATTTTTCCACAGTATCAAACCGTAAAACAATGCTTTGGGGAAAAGTTTAAATAAAGACAAAGAAAGTTAAACATTAGTTTTAAAAAATTGCTGCTAAAATATATGAAGGATAAAAGCAGAACTGAAAAATAGATAAGAGCATATCACAGTAAATTTCTAATGGTTCACCAGTAGAAATCTGCAGATCCTTAAGGTGAAAATAGGCCTTGATCATATCCTTCTGTTTTTTTGAGGACAATAAACTTTCCTGAACTTAAGTGTTTCCTAAAGACTCATTTGCCAAATATCTGTTGATTCCTTTAAAAAACAAACAAAACCAGAGCCCTGAAGCTCAATTTTAAAGTGTAAAGAATTTTACATGCTTTTCTGAAGAATATAATTGAGTCAGAAAGTAATTAAATAATTCGAGGCAGACAGTATGGCAAAAGGAAACTGAGGTAGAAATGTAAAACTATTTAAGTCAAAGCTACTATATCACACATAATGGCATAAACACAAAAAATTAAGGAAATAGAAATCATGGAATGGACAGCATTCACTAACCTACTAATGCTTTTGCTAGTTTCCAAAATATGCCTACCTAGTATACAATCTTTATAGTTCTTTATCATATTAAGTGGACTAATATTAAAACCAAAACATTTTACCTAAGCTAAGCACTCTTATCTGGGGAGTTCGTATTCTACAGCAGGAAACGAAGGAGAAAAACCAGCCTAGAAAGCAACAGTGTGGATTATGCACTGTTACAGCCCGTGTCCTACATAACCTTTTGAATGCATGACCTTTAAGTTGCTGAAGGTTGCCTCAGAATTTGGCTCAGTTTGATGGAAACATCTGTTCCCCTTGCAGGTATACTGTAAGGACTTTTTTCTCAGTTGGATTCAGAACACAGCAAGTGAGCCCTTGTCTGTCCAATCATACAGACCCCAACACTTGTAAATCAAGTTCTGGGAGGACAACAGCAGGTCCACATTCCGTCACCCTTTCTCAGCCAGCTAGGCCAACTGACTGCTGTGAGAACTGCTCTTATCATGTCATCAAATCAAAACATGTTGAGATGAGGGACTAAAAGAGGCATCTGCAGAATTCCCAAAATGTAGTGACTTTGGAACATTGACAGATGCATCTGTCATTTTATACCTTCAACTAACCTGATGTCCACTGGCTCGACACAGTAAAGCTGTCCACGATCGATTCCAATTCTTTCACGTTATTTTCACACGTCTCTACTAGAAAGGCCTGGTGTTTCTTAGCCTTTTAATTAAGAAGAAAAAATTACACATGATAAGGTCATGCATTATAGGTGCTGCAGATTTTTTGTGTGAACACATATACCACAATTAAGTATGAAATGAGCTAATAATTACTCCATTCAAATCCATTATTAATAAACCTCTTTTTGTCTTAATCATATGTTTTACTTGGCTTAATGCAACACTGTAAAAGGTCTCAATAAGAATTTACTGAGGTCTTAGTGCCTGTCACCATTCTCAATATTTTAACACATAGTAATTCTTCTTATCTTCATAACAACCCTATGAGGGAAGGGCCATCATTATTCCAATTTTACAGATAAGGAAACTGAGACACAGAGGAATTAAGGAAAACTTTAAAAGACCACGCATGGAGTCATGTGGCAAAGGTAGTTAAAAGTGAATGTAGTGTGACAAATTAAAAGGAACTGCAGCAGTCTACTCAAGAGATGACAGCAGCTTAGATTAGAGTCTTAACAGTGAAAAAGAGTTGTGGGGTATATGAACTGGAGGGCATTGGGGGGGTGTATACTTAGGCGGTGGAATGGCCAGACCTTGGTAATGCTGCACTGGGTTATATTACATTTATTGGATTAGACTGGATTGAATTGAACTGCACTGGCTGGATAGGACTGGATGAGATTTGGGAACTGCTCAGATAAAAGGAAGAGTTAAGACCAATCCCAAGGTTTCAGACTAGAAGAACCAGGCAGATTTCATTTTGCCCAGAGAATGATGGAAGTAGAAAAGGTCTTATTTTGGCTGTTTCTGTTTGTGTATTTACTTGTTTGCTTGTTTTTGGCAGGGATTACGAATCATAAATTATGTTTTGATCATACTGCATTAGAAATACCTTTAAGACACTTCCAGCACCAACACAATGCCTGGCAAATAACACAACCTAAGTAAATATACGTGACTTAACAAAGAACACATAAGTAAAAAAAATATGGGAGGCAACTGGACATGATGGTGTAAAGCTCAGAAGAGAGGTCAAGTACAAGTTTGGGAATCATCTAGAGATATGTTAACCCTGCCTTGAGTGTTTGATGGGAAGAGAAAAGAGCCTAGGACAGAGTGTAAGAACTCCAGAATTAACACTTAGAAAAGAAAAAGACTGAAAAAAAGAAATACAGAAGGGGACAGTGTCAGGAAAGCCAAGATAACAGAACATTTCAAGGATAGAGTTGTCAGTTATGTCCAATGTCACAGAATACTCAAGCAAAATGGAGGCTAACAAGTTTCCACTGGACATGGAAGTCACTGGTGACCTTGATAAAATCTGTTATAACCCAGACTGGAACAGGATGAAGGAAGAGTAAGCCTGAATTTTTTTGTTTTAATTGAGTAAGAGAGAAGTAAATGCAAACAGGAAATTTAGACAACACTTTCTTGGTAAGAAGGGAAGAGGAGATAAAGGAGAGTAGCTGAAAAGAAGAGTGACGTTGGAGAAGAGTTTTTTTCTTTTCTTACTGAAGTACAGTTGATTTAAATGTCTCAGGTGTATAGCAAAGTGACTCAGCTATATAGGCATATATACATAGCTTTTTCAGATTCTTTTCCATTATAGGTTATTATAAGATATTGAATACAGTTCCCTGTGCTGTACAGTAGGTCTTTGTTGTTTACTTTGTATATAGTAGTGGGTACCTGTTAATCCCAAATTCCCAATTTATCTCTACCTTCTCTCCCCTGTAGTAACCATAAATTTGCTTTCTATGCTTGTGAATCTATTTCTGTTTTGTAAATAAGTTCATCTGTATCATTTTTAGGTTCCACATATAAGTGATACTGTATAATATTTGCCTTTCTCTCTTTGACTTATTTCACTTAGTATGATAATCTCTAGGTCCATCCATTTGTTGCAGCAAATGGCATTATTTCATTCTTTTTAATGGCTGAGTAATATTCCATTATATATATATATACCACATCTTCTTTATCCATTCATCTGTCAATTGGACATTTAAGTTGCTTCCATGTCTTGGCTATTGCAAATAGTGCTCCTGTGAACACTGGAGTGTATGTATCTTTTTGAATTAGTGTTTTCATCTTTTCCAGATATATGCCCAGGAATGAGACTGCTGTATCATATAGTAACTCTATTTTTAGTTTTTTAAGGAACCTCCATATTGTTCTCCATAGTGGCTATATCAATTTACATTCCCAACAGTGTAGGAGGTTTCTCTTTTCTGCACACCTTCTCCAGCGTTTATTTGCTGTAGACTTTTTGATAACAGCTATCCTGACTGGTGTGAGGTGGTACCTCACTGTAGTTTTGATTTGCATTTTTCTAATAATTAGTGATATTAAGCATCTTTTCATGTGCCTATTGGCCAACTGTATGTCTTCTTTGGAGAAATGTCGATTTAGTTCTTCTGCTTATTTTTTGTAATTGAAGTATAGTTGATTTATAACATCGTGTTAGTTTCTTCTGTACAGAATATTGATTTAATTATACATATATATTCATTTTCATATTCTTTATCATTATAGGTTATTATAAGATATTGAATATAGTTCTCTGTGCTAAACAGTAGGGCCTTATTATTTACCTATTTTATATATAGTAGTTATATATAGTAGTATCTGCAAATCCCAAACCCCAGATTTATCCCTTCCTAACACCCTTCTCCTCGATAATCGTAAGTTTGTCTTCTATGTCCATGAGTCTGTTCCTGTTTTCAAATAAGTTCTGTTTTCAAATAACAAATAAGTTCATTTGTGCCATTTTCTGCCCAGTTTTTGACTGGGTTGTTTGTTTTTTGATATTGAGCTGTATAAGCTGTTTTGTCTATTTTGGAAATTAAGCCTCTGCTGGTAGCATTGTTTGCAAATATTTTCTCCCATTTCATAGGCTGTCTTTTCATTTTGTTTATGGTTTCCTTTGCTGTGCAAAAGCTGGTAAGTTTAATTAGGTCTCATTTAGTTTTTCTTTTATTTCCATTACTCTAGGAGACAGATCCAAAAAAAAAAAATTGCTGTGATTTATGTCAGTGTTCTGCCTTTGTTTTCCTCAAGGAGTTTTATAGTATTCAGTCATATTTAAGTCTTTAACCTATTTTGAGTCTATTTTTGTATTTGGTGTTACAGAATGTTCTAATTTCATTCTTTTACATGGAGCTGTCCAGTTTTCCCAGCACCATTTGTTGAAGAGTCTCTTCTCTATTGTATATTCTTGCCTCTTTTGTCATAGATTAATTGATCATAAGTGTGTGCATTTATTTCTGGGCTTTCTATCCTGTTCCATTGATCTATGTGCCTATTTTTGTGCCAGTACCATACTGTTTTGATTACTGTAGATTTGTAGTACAGTCTGAAGTCAGGGAGAGTGATTCTTTTTCAAGATTTGGCTATTTGAGGTCTTTTGTGTTCTCATACAAATCTTAACATATTCTGTTCCAGCTCTGTGAAAAATGTCATTGGTAATTTGATAGGGATTGCACTGAATCTGTATATTGCCTTGGATAGTATGGTCATTTTAACAGTATTGATTTTTCCAATCCAAGAACACAGTATATCTTTCCATCTGTTTGTATGATCTTCAATTTCTTTCATTAGCATCTTACAGTTTTCAGAACACAGGTCTTTTGCCTCCATAGAAGGTTTATTTCTAGGTATTTTATTCTTTTTGATGCAACAGTAAATTGGATTGTTTCCTTAATTTCTCTTTCTGATATTTTGTTGTTAGTGTATACAAATGCAACAGATTCCTGTATATTAATTTTGTATCCTGCAAATTTATTCATTCACTGATGACTAGTAGTTTACTGGTAGTGTTTTCAGCATTTCCTATGTATAGTATCATGTTACCCACAAACAGTGACAGTTTTGCTTCTTTTCCAATGTGGATTCCTTTTATTTCTTTTTCTTCTCTGGCTGCTGTGGCTAGGACTTCCAAAACTATGTTAAATAAAAATGGCAAAAGTGGACATCCTTGTCTTGTTCCTGATCTTAGATGGAATGCTTTCAGCTTTTCACCAGTGAGTATGATGTTAGCTGTGGGTTTGTCATATACGGCCTGTACTATGTTAAAGTATGTTCCCTCAATACTCACATTCTAGAGAGTTTTTTTTAAACCCCTTAAGCACTTTTTATTTTAATTGTACTTTAAAGTTTTTATTGTAAAAATTTTAGATTTAAAGAAAAACTGGGATGATAGTGCAGAGAATTTTTATGTATATTGCATACCCAGTTCCCCTATTATTAACATTTAAACTTTCCTTGCTGACTAGAGGTCTTTAATGAGCAGCACGTATTGCGCTGTGTTGTTAACAGAGGTGCAGGAAGTGCTGAGACAGGATCCAGGGTGAATCAGGTACTCTCTCCTTCAGTGGCCCCAGAAGTTGTCTTCTTAAAAATGTTTTGCTTTTGGGTGACTGTCTCCTCAGAAAAGTGGCATAGATTCCTATGGCCACATGGTCAGGCAATGTAACGTTACTGCTTTCCCGCTAAGTCAATCAGTGCTCCAAGACCCAAGCTGTCTTCCTAAGGGTACTTCTTTTTTTTTAAC